CCCCACTTACCTCTCCCCCTTCTCTCTCAACATCCTCCCACCCTCACACCTTCAACCAAACCAAATAAGAGCAATGAGTAAAGAACACACTTCCTATGTGCCAGACACTTTGCTAACATTAACTCACTGAGATCCTCACAATAACTCACATGGTAGTTATTATTATTATTTTCTTCGTAACTGATGAGGAAACTGAGGAACCAAGAGCTTAAGACCACACAGTCCAGTTTCAGAGTCCGTGCCTTTCCTTTCTTTCTTTCTTTCTTTCTTTCTTTCTTTCTTTCTTTCTTTCTTTCTTTCTTTCTCTCTCTCTCTCTCTCTCTCTCTCTCTCTCTCTCTCTTTCTTTCTTCCTCCCTTCCTTCCTTCCTTTTTGGCTGCGTTGGGTCTTCGTTGCTGCGCACAGGTTTTCTCTAGCTGCGGCAAGCGGAGGCTACTCTTTGTTGCAGTATGCGGGCTTTTCATTGCGGCATGCGGTCTTCTCATTGCGGTGGCTTCTCTTGTTGCAGAGCATGGGCTCTAGGCATGTGGGCTCAGTAGTTGTGGCGCACGGGCTTAGTTGCTCCGCGTCACGTGGGATCTTCCCGGACCAGGGACCAAACCCGTGTCCCCGGCATTGGCAGGCAGATTCTTAACCACTGCACCACCAGGGAAGTCCCTCAGAGTCTGTGCCTTTAATTATGAAGCTATGCCCCCTGGAATTGAAGAGCTCTAGCACACAGGCTGTCTTCTTTCTCACCTCCCAGCCTTTGCGTAAGACCCTTCCTGCCTGGAACACTGTCCGCTGGCACCCCTTTCATCTGGCTCACTCTACTCATCCTTTAAGTTTCCATGGCCTCTTTCTGACCCCCAGGCTGGGTCAGGAGCTCCCTGAGTTTCCAGAGCTCCCTGTGCTGTTCCCACCACAGCCTTTGGCAGTGGGTACAGTGGGAGCTGCTTTCTCTCCATGCACCCTTTGAGCAGCAACCTCTCATGCATCTTGGAATGCCAAGCTCATGGCAGGGACCTGGCCCTGCGAATGTTTGTGCAATGAGTGATTATCAGCACAACTAACCCTCTACAGTAAGTCCCCTACATATGAATGAGTTCCGTTCTGAGAGTACGTTCGTAAGTCCAATTTGTTCATAAGTCCAACAAAAGTAGCCTAGGTACCCAACTGGCACAATTGGGTACAATTGGCCATAGAGTACTGTACTATAATAGGTTTATAATACTTTTCACACAAATAATACATAACAAACAAATGCAAAAAATAAAGAAAACATTTTAAATCTTACAGTACAGTACCTTGAAAAGTACAGTAGTACAGTACAACAGCTGGCATCCATGGGGCTGGCATCGAGTGAACAGGCAAGAAGAGTTACTGACTGGAGGAGGGAGAGGAGGTGGGAGATGGTGGAGCTGAAGGATCGTCAGCGATAGGAGATGGAGGGCAAGCTGCAATTTCACTCACGCCTGACGCTGATGGCACAGGTTCTGGTTCCTTGCTGGGTTCAATTTTGTTTACCCTCTTGAAAAAATGATCCAGTGATGTCTGGGTAGTTGCTCTTTTTCTTCGCATCATAGATGACATGGTGGCACTGGATTGCATTCTGAACTGTTGTTGCAACCTTCCTGTACCATTCTACGTTCGGGACCTGTGCCTCAAAAACTCACAGTGCCTCCTCAGATAAAGAAAATCCCCTGCCATTTCCTGTGTCGTGAATCTCTTCAGTTACTTCTTCCTCTGGTCTCTCTTTGTCCTTTCTGTGGGCCTCCAGTTCCATCAGGTCTTCATCAGTAAGCTCCTCACGTTACACAGCAAGTTCAATGAAGTCATCCTCTTGCAAATCTAGCTTGAAATAAAGATACTGTACTACCGTACTCTATGCAGTACTGTACAGTAGAGTATACAAAAGCACAACTACTTGTGGAGGATGCACGCACATGACAGTGTACATGTGAACTAACTTACGTGACTGGACATTCGAACGCACGTTCGCATCTTTGAAAGTTCGCAACTTGAAGGTTCAAATGCAGGGGACTTACTGTACTTTGTTAAGGTTGAATGAATTCCTGGGACCAATCTACCAATAGGCATTTATTAGGCACCTGCTGTGTGCCTTGCGCTGAACCAAGTATACTGGGAGAAATAACAGTAATGGATGTTCAGTTGTGGTTTGCCTGGAGAGGGTCATCGTGGCCAGGCGAGGTCAGCAGGGCAGTGAGCTCTGCCGCCCAGCTTTCGTTTCAGATCCTCTGCCACTTTTGCTTCTCCTCCTCCAGCCTCTCTAGCCTCCAGCCCTGCTTTCTTCCACCTTCCCGATTACATCAGTTCAAGCGAAAGGATCTGCAAACTTGTTTACTGAAGGGGCAGAGACTGATCTTAAGGGGGTGGATTATGTCTCCCAGCAGGAGGGAGACGATTCTTCTCCCTTAACAGGTGAGGATTCTGCTACTCTGGGGGAGAGGAATGAAGTAGGTGGAATCATAGGCTGTTGGTGTGGGTTGCATCCTTGGGAACCCCTGGATTCTTTCTTCTAAATTTCTCAATGAACGAAAGCTAGAACCCCGGTTCTCTAACTGCTGGTGTGTTGGCTTCTCTAATTGAGTATCGTTGTCCCCAAATCCCACAGTCAGTCAACTTCACAGACAAGGACTTCTGGCTCTAAACTGCATTCTATTTTTTTTTTTACTACTCCACTGCCTTTCAACCTTTGATCTGAGTGAGTTTATGAGAGCACATCACAGTGTTCAGGCGCTGTGTCAGGCAGTCAAAATGCAGGGGTTCTAACCCTGTCCCACATCAGTCTTCCAGATTAGGTGTTGTTACCTCTGTATCAAGACGAGGAAACTGGTCAGAGAAAGCTAACAACCAGTGAAGAGTCACAGGCAGGTCCCCAAGTCCACACGCTCTCTGCTTCCTCGGTCCGCCGTGCTTTGGCCCGTGGTGGGGGATGGCATTTCCTCTCCACTCTGACTTTCGCCGACATTTCTCCTCATACTTCTCTTCACTTACCACCCCCTCCCACACCAAATACAAGTGGAAGATCTCCCAGTTTCCTGATCAATAGGAGAGACTCCCGTTGAACAGTATCTGACCTCAAGCCAAGAAATGAGTCTAAAACCTCTGCTTTCCCTGCCCCATACTCACTCTGGGTGGCTGCAGCCTCCGGTCTGGCTTTGTTTCCTCTCATCCTTTTATTAGCTGCCTAATCGGCAGCCCAATTAATCTGCTCATCTGTGAAGGAGGATGGCTCACAATGAGCTCCTCCGTTTCCAGAAGCCATCCTCTGAGGCAGCACGGCCAGGCCCTGAGCACAGGCTGGCTCCTTGATGGAGGGCTGCCCCAGGAGCCAGGGTCAATTAGTGGACAGATTAAGCAATTACTAGCCCCTGACAAGGGTGCCTGGCATCATTACCCTGCCTGTTTACTGGCAAACTACAGCTTTCATATGAAGACCAACAAATAAATTAGGGCATCTGTTCGACTGCCGCTTCAGCAGCGAAGTAAATGATGTCCAACTGGCTCTCGGCTGCCGATGGATTCTCAACCCCGGCCTAATGAAAAGCCCAAGATGTCCCTCACTGGTCATGGCAGCTCTGGAATGTGCCTCTGAGCGACTTATCATTCCAAGGGCTAAGTGCCTGCCACTGGGCATGTGGATCGTTCTTAGTTACCCCGCGGCTTCCTCCTGTCTGGCTGTCAAAACCTACTTATCTTTCAGGGCCCAGCTCAAAAGCTTTTTTCTCCTTGATGCCTTTCCTGCTCTCTCCAGCAGGAGAGGAGTTCTCCTTCTGTACTTTTGGGAGGGTTTTGTACTCGCCTATCAATTTCCAGCATTACAGGAATTTCATGGAATGCCAGAGTTCCATTTTGCCTATTTTTCTCGGGTCTCTGATGAATGAGTAGAAATGTGGAGAAAAGGAGGGACAAGGCAAGGACTCACTTCTTGTTTTCTCAGCCCCTCTCCTGTAGATATACGCAGGCCATCGCCAGGATATCAACGACAGCAGTGACAGAGTCAGGTTTGCCCTTCAGGACAATCCCTCTGGCTATAGTGATGAGGGCACATTCTAGAGGTGGCTGCTGTCACCTAAGTCAGATGTGGTTGTTCTCATCCAGGCCAAGTATGATGGTGGCTTAGAATAGAAGAGAGGCAGGGGGATGGAGGTGAGGGGCAGGTTTGCTAGCTTCAAGGAAGAGACTTGGAGACCACCTGGATGTGCGAGGAGAGTCATGGAGGATTCAACTCTTCTAAATCTGGTGACCTGAAGGAGAGGTGGTAGTTGGTGCCAGTGAGAAGCAGAGAGGGCAGCCAGCCCCAGAATCTGGGAACAGAGGACCCTCAAAGTGGGGAAAGGAGCAGGCCTGGGGGCATTGACAAAACCTCCCTGTCCTCTTGTGACTTCTCCTTTGTGTTTCCTGGTGCACCCATCAGCCACCTGAGGACTGAGACCCCTAAGGTCCCTGACTCCATCGTCATCCAATCTGATGTCAGCCTTTAGCTAACAGTGCGTCCAATAGGGAGCAACTCTAAAGTTATTGTTTAGAGTTATCCTGCCTCTTCCCCATCTCTGTCTGTCAGGGGCCCCTCCAAGGCACAGCTCATATGCTGTCTTTTCCTGGAGGCCCACCCTGTGCTCTTCAGCAGGACATGCTCTCCC